GTTTTCTCACACATCATAGCTCTAAGTCTGACTTGGAATAAAGTCTAGTGGACAGTCTGTGAGCTGAATGGGCTGGTCTAGCTACACAAGCTGGATGCCAGAAGTAGAAGGGCCTATCCAGCTCTACAGACCTTCATCCTTCTCTTCTCCTTCTATGCTAAAGATTGTCTTTTTTTTTTTTTTAATTTTAAAGATGGGGTTTCACCATGATGGCCAGGCTGGTTTTGAATTCCTGACCTCAGGTGATCAACCCACCTCAGCCTCCCAAAGTGCTAGGATTACTGGTGTGAGCCACCACACCCGGCTAAAGATTCAGTCTTAAGGGCTGACTCCATTAAATCAGCCACCCCAGCTGTGTACCTTGCCCTGCCCACCTTATTTCATGTAATACAACAACTCTGTGAAGCTAGTAATGGAGATGAGGAAACTGAGACTCACAAAGGTTAAGTAACTTGCTGAAGGTCACACATCCAGGATATATGAGAAACAGGATTCAAACCTGGGCTTAGCAAAATGCAAAGTCCATGTTCTTTTTCTATGCTTTTCACTAACTCCCAATTACAGGGACAGATACCTTTAAAGTTTCATATATAAATATGTCTATATAAATAAAGATATACAGATATGTCTGAGCTGTTTTTACTCACTTCTGATACAAATATGTGAATTTTTTTTTCCTTTCACCCAAAGCCAATTCTCTAATTCTCTAGATACTAACCAAGAGTACTACAATTCAATTCCGTTCTGCCATTCACTATTTGGCATTAGCACGGACCCCACAGGTTAAAGATTCAGTCCCACAAGACTGCCCCAACTGCCAGTTGCAACTCCCAGGTTTCCACCTATATATCTGAATAAACCACTTATAAATCAGGGACTCCCCATGAAGTGAATCAGAACATGCCACCCAAAATATGCCACTTTGGCATATTGGTTATTTTGACCTGAAGGTGCTTGAGAGACAGCAGCTGTAGGAAGGGTTCTCTGATCTATACCTTTCAATATTAAAACAGGACATAGACCATGCACAGTGGCTTGGTACACCTATAATCCTAGCACTTTGGAAGGCTGAAGCTGGCAGATGACTTCAGGCCAGCAGTTTGAAACCAGCGTGGCCAACATGGCGAAAACCTCATATCTACTAAAAATACAAAAATCAGCCAGGTGTGGTGGTGCATGCCTGTAATCTCAGTACTCAGGAGCCGAGGCACAAGAATCACTTGAACCTGAGAGGTGGAGGTTGCAGTGAGTTGAGATCATGCCACTGCACCCCAGCCTGGGTGAAAAAGCAAGATTTTGTCTTAAAAATAATAAAATAATAAAACAGGACATACATTTCCCATGACAAAGGCAATCTATTTGCATCAGGAAGAGGAGAACATTCTCATCAACAGAAGTGAGGCATGGACACTGACATGAATCCGCACAAATACTAAAATAAATCTTATCTTCCATTAATTTTCACCACATATTTCCTAGTCATTTTCCCACAGTTCACTATGCATAGGCCAAGACCCCTTGCCTTGTCTTGTTATAGCTCTACAATTTATCATCTTTTGTTAACATGGGATATAAGCTCTCAGGCCTGTCTGCTTCTTTTTTTTTTTGAAAGGAGAGAAGGAAAGAAAGAAAAAAAAGGAGTGAAGGAGAGGAAGAAAGAGGAAGAAAAAGAGGGAGAGAGAATGGGAATGTTGCTATATTCTAAAAATGGGTATTGAAAACCTCTTTTATGCAAATAATTGTGCTTAATAATGGCCGATCAATATTTCATTTAAACCTATGAGTAGGTGTGACAAGAATGTATATTTTGTGTTTTTAAAGTGGAGAGCTCTATAAATGTTTATTAAGTTTACTTGTTCCAGATCCGAGTTCAAGTCCTGGATATCCTTATTAATTTTCTGTCTCATTGATCTATCTAATATTCATGTTGAAGTCTCCCATTATTATTGTGTGGGAGTCTAAGTTTCTTTATAGGTCTTATGTATCTGGGTGTTAGGATCTTTAGCTCTTCTTGTTGCATTGATCCTTTTCCCACTATATCTTTGTTACTTTAAAATCTATTTTATCAGAGGCGAGAATTGTAACTCCTGCATTTTATTTATTTATTTATTTATTTTTGCTCTCCATTTAGTTGGTAAATCTGTCTCCATCCCTTTGTTTTGAGTCTTTGTGTATCCTTGCATGTGAAATGGGTCTGGATGTAACATGCGGTTGGGTTTTGGCTGTATCTTTTTATTGGGGGATTTAGTCGATTTAAATTTAGGATTACTGCCATTTGATGTTAACTGGCTGTTTTGTCCATTTGTTGATGTAAATTCTTCATTATGTTGATGCTCTTTACTTTTTGGTATATTTTTAGAAAGGCTAATACTCGTTGTTTCTTTCTATGTGTAATGCTTCTTTCAGAAGCTCTTGTAAAGCAGGCCTGGTGGTAATAAAATCTCTGAGTACTTGCTTGTTCATAAAAGATTTTATTTTTCCTTCAGTTGTGAAGCTTAGTTTGGCTGGATATGAAATTCTGGGCTGAAAGTTCTTTTCTTTAAGGATGTTGAATATTGGCCCCCACGCTCTTCTGGCTTGTAGGGTTTCTGCTGAGAGATCTACTGTAAGTCTGACAGGCTTCCCTTTGCGTGTAACCTGACCTTTCTCTCTGGCTGCCCTTAGTATTTTCTCCTTCATTTCAACCCTGGTAAATCTAACGATTATGTGCCTTGGGGTTGCTCTTCTTGAGGAATATCTTTGTGGTGTTCTCTGTATTACCTGGGGCTGAATATTGTCCTGCTTTGCTAGGTTGGGAAAGTTTTCCTGAATAATATCCTGAAGAGTATTTTCCAGCTTGGATTCATTCTCTTTGTCATATTCAGGTACATCTATCAAATGTAAATTAGGTCTTTTCACATAGTCCCATATTTCTTGGAGACTTTGCTCATTCCTTTTTATCCTTTTTTCTTTATTCTTGTCTTCTCATTTTATTTCATTAAGTTGGTCTTCGACTTTTGATATCCTTTCTTCTGCTTGATCAATTCAGCTATTAAAACTTGTGCATATTTCGCTAAGTTCTTGTGTTGTGTTTTTCAACTCCATTAATTCATTTATATTCCCCTCTATATTGACTATTCTTGTTAACATTTCATCAAACCTTTTTTCAAAGTTCTGAGTTTCTTTACATTGGGTTAGAACAAATTATTTTAACTCCCAGAAGTTTCTTATCATCCATTTTCTGAAGCCTACTTCTGTTAATGGAACGCAGTCCTTCTCCATCAGACCTTGTTCCGTTGCTGATGAGGAACTATAATCCCCTGTAGAGGGAGAGGCATTCTGATTTTGGGTATTCTCAGCCTTTTTAGGCTGGTTTCTTCCCTTCGTTATAAATTTATCCATCTAGGGCCGGGCGTGGTGGCTCACGCCTATAATCCCAGCACTTTGGGAGTCCGAGGCGGGTGGATCATGAGGTCAAGAGATCGAGACCATCCTGGTCAACATGGTAAAACCCCGTCTGTACTAAAAATACAAAAAATCAGCTGGGCATGGTGGCGCATGCCTGTAATCCCAGTTACTCCGGAGGCTGAGGCAGGAGAATTGCCTTAACCCAGGAAGCAGAGGTTGCGGTGAGCTGAGATCGCGCCATTGCACTCCAGCCTGGGTAACAAGAGCGAAACTCCATCTCTAAATAAATAAATAAATAAATTTATCCATCTGTCATCTTTACAATTACCGCCTTACTAATTAGGTTTCTGAGTGGATGTCCAATTTATTGATTCCCAGCCCCAGAATCTGAGCAATCCACTGCACCGGCCAAAACAGAGGCGTTAAGACTGATGGTGCTCTTCTGCTCGGGAATCTCCGGTCTGGCTTCCTTCTTGAGTCCATAATAGGCAACTCTGCCTTCCCGGAGCTCCAAGCATCGGTTAGAAGGGGAACCAGTCCTGTTTACTCTGCACCAAGAGCTGCTGCGCTGAGGCGCCGGCAAAACTGCCACACCAGCCACAAGAGTCGCGCTGGCAACCCGTGCGGCTCCTCCACTGGGAATCTTTTGGTCCGTGAGCGATAAAAATTTGTCTGAAAGTGTGGCATCCTCTCGTTCTCTGTGCTTTCACTGGGAGCTACAATCCCGAGCTGTTAGTGATAAGCCATCTTGGATCTCTCTGTCATTTTCCCACAGTTCACTATGCATAGGCTAAGCCCCCTTGCTTGTCTTGTTATAGCTCTACAATTTATCATCTTTTGTTAACATTGTATATAAGCTCTCAGGCCTGTCTGCTTCTTTGGGTTTTCATTTCTCTCTTATGAAGATTCCCCTGCCATGTAAAAATGCTAACATCAAATAAAATACGTATGCTTATGTCCTGTTAACCTGTCTTTTCTCAGTTTAATCCTCAGGCACAATCACAAAACCTAAGAAGGTAGGGGAAAAGACTTTCCTCCCCTTTACCACAAGCCCCTCCTCAGGTTTGATAGTTTGCAAAAACAGCTCTTAGAACTCAGGAAAGTGCTTCACTTATTATTACCAGTTTATCATAAAGGTTCATATTAAGGAGTAACCAAATGGAAGAGATACATTAAGCAAGTGCAAAGCCTCCATGCCCTCTCTTGGTACACCTGTCCTAAGAACTTGATGTTGTCACCAACTTGGGAGCTCTCCAAACCCCATCATTTAAGGGGTTTTTTTTCTAGTTTTTGCTTGTTTGTTTGTTTTTCAGACAGGGTCTTGCTATGTCACCCAGGCTGGAGTGCAGTAGTATGATCATAGCGCACTATGATCCACCAAGCCCGGCCCCTGCATCAATTTTAAAAATTATGTTACATGCCTTTTTTTACCTTAGATCCAGACATAGACTGGAAGTACCTACGTTTCTTTCTTTCTTTTTTTTTTTTAAAAAATGGGGTTTCACCATATTGGTCAGGCTGGTCTCAAACTGCTGACCTCAGGTGATCTGCCCACCTCAGCCTCCCAAAGTGCTGGGATTACAGTCGTGAGCCACCGCACCTGACATACCTACCTTTCTTGTTAGCTTTAGTATGATGAAATGGAAATAGGAATTTCTTGACACCTTTTGACTTTTTGCACTCTTTTTTCAAAACAGTTGAAGAATAAATGATACGAATGTGTTGGCTGATTTCTCTATCTGGTGCACTCAAAAATTCTGGGGAATCATCAATCTGGAAAAAAAAATTAATTCACCTTATTGAAGACAAATACAACTGTTTACCTATTTTGGTGTAATAAATCCCCCAAAGCCAAGGACAAGTGTGTGTGTGTGTGTGTGTGTGTGTGTGTGTGTGTGTATACACATACATATATATATTCACACTCACACACACATATATATATATATTTCAAAACAGAGTCTTGACCTGTCACCCAGGCTGGAGTGCACTGGTGTGATCTCGGCTAATTGCAATCTCCGCCTCCTGGGTTGAAGTGATTCTCCTACCTCAGCCTCCTGAGTAGCTGGGATTACAGGCATGAGTCACCATTCCTGGCTAATTTTTGTGTTTTTAGTAGAGACAGGGTTTCACCATGTTGGCCAGGCTGGTCTCGAACTCCTGACCTCAGGTGATCCACCCGCCTCAGCCTCCCAAAGTGCTGGAATTACAGATGTGAGCCACTGCACCTGGCCCAAGGGCAAGTTTAAACTGAGTTTTGTTTGTTTTTTCCCCTTCATTTTCTCTACTGGACATCTTTCTTTTCTTGTTGTTAGGTTTCCCAATTATTTCTCTATTTGTTTTAGTACTTTCTAAAATGTGCTCAGCAACAGAACCCAATAAACTATTTACATTATAGAATTGCTACATAAATAGTAACAGTGTTTGTTACAGTATTTGTCAAAATGAGGAAGGAGACCCTTAATCACCCTTAAGCATTTAAGACCACCTCCCCCTTGACTTCCACGTTGCATTTCAATAGGGAAGTAAAGGCTGGCAGACCAGCCACCACCTTTAATCACCCTCCTATAAATCACAGGCATGGTATGGAGGAATCTTTCTGGAAGGCATTGTTTTTACTTAAACACAATCAAACCCCCACCTAAGTCACTGTACTCCATGCTACTCCATGGCCTAAGACCCTTTCACATGTAAATTCTAGAGCTGTAAACCCAAAAGGCTTTCACTGTAATATCTAGAATTGTGAGCCTTTATAAAGGCAGAGATTTCCTTTGTTAGACAAGCTTGGCTGTTAGGCAACTATGCCATCTTGCTCCAAGCCAAATAAATCACCTCTTCCTTCCCAGTTCAGTGTTAGAGAGGTCTGTTTCCCTTGGGCGCTCTTGCTTCAAAAATACATCCCTCTCCACTCCATTTTATTTTATTTATTTTTTTGAAATGGAGTCTCCCTCTGTAGCCCAGGCCGGTGTGCAATGGCACAATCTGCTCACTGCAATCTCTGCCTCCTGGGTTCAAGCAATTCTTGTGCCTCAGCCTCCTGAGTAGCTGGGATTACAGGTACCTGCCATTATGCCCAGCTAATTTTTGTATTTTTATAGAGATGGGGTTTCACTATGTTGGACATGCTGGTCTTAAACTCCTGACCTCAGGTGATCTGCATGCCTCGGGGTCCCAAAGTGCTGGGATTATAGGCAGGAGCCACTGTGCCCAGTCTAATTCCATTTTAAAACTAAGTTTTTCATAAAGGTCTCAAAAATGTATCATTAATTGATTTTACACTAAGATTTTTCTATGAAGGAGACTATGTCCGTTTATAGGTAACAGTCTACAGAGATCCTGTGAAGGCAGACATCTAGGTTTGAACTACTGGAAATGTTCTCTCCAACATGCTCTGTTCTCTATTCTTGATTAAAAAGGGAAAAGGTCATCCGGGCGCGGTGGCTCATGCCTGTAATCCCAGCACTTTGGGAGGCCAAGGTGGGTGGATCACGAGGTCAGCAGATCGAGACCATCCTGGTCAACATGGTGAAACCCCCGTCTCTACTAAAAATACAAAAAAAAAAAAGGGAAAAAGTCTCCATAAATAAATAGGACATTTAAATCTTCTCTGTAACAGCCTACTTCACTTTCTATAACAAGCAGCAGTAGTATTTGATTGAAAAGCTAAGTGAGACAGGCTGAGGCAGGGGAATCACTAGAGCCCAGGAGTTTGCGTCTGTAGTGTGCTATGATCTATGCAGTGCACTTCTCTGTGAATAACCACTATAACCCAGTCTGAGCAACATAGCAAGAGCCCATCTCTTTTTTTTTTTTTTTGAGACGGAGTTTCACTCTAGTTACTCAGACTGGAGTGCAATGGCACGATCTCGGCTCACCGCAACCTCCGCCTTCTGGATTTAAGCAACTCTCCTGCCTCAGCCTCCTGAGTAGCTGGGACTACAGGCGCGCACCACCATGCCCAGCTAATTTTTGTATTTTTGGTAGAGACGGGGTTTCACCTTGTTGACCAGGATGGTCTCGATCTCTTGACCTCGTGATCCACCCGCCTCGGCCTCCCAAAGTGCTGGGATTATAGGTGTGAGCCACCACCCGGCCCCATCTCTTTTTGAAAAGGTGAGGGTAGGTTGGGTGTGGTGGCTCCTGCCTGTAATCCCAGTAGTTTGGGATGCTGAGGCAGTTGGATCACCTGAGGTCAGCAGTTCGGGACCAGCCTGACCAACATGGTGAAACCCTGTCTCTACTAAAGAAACAAAAAATTAGCCAGGCTTGCTGGCACGCACCTGTAATTCCAGCTACTCGGGAGTCTGAGGCAGGAGAATCCCTTGAACCTGGGAGGCAGAGGTTGCGGTGAGCTGACATTGTGCCACTGTGCTCCAGCCTGGGTGACAGGGAGAGACTTTGTCTCAAAAAAAATTAATACATACACTTAAGCTTATTTTTATATTTTACAGAAAGATTATATATTTTGGTAATGTTAATGAATGTACTTGTTTACAAAGTTTCTATGCTTGTGAAAGAGGTTCTTTTCAAGCATGTTGCTTTCCATGTCTATTACTAAATGTTTTATTGTCACTTTGACTAAGTAGGTAACCAGGTATTATTTCTTAGGCACTCATGATTCTCTCTTAAACAAAAGTCAAAATCTCCTTTAATAAACACTTGATTTTTGCCTTCCACAAATAAGACTCTAAGAAAGAAATATATTAAAATCTTAGGATATATTTTACATTTAAAACATCTTTGCAATTTCTCAGCGGGTTTCTAAAAATGAAAAATACACAAAATCTTGGTCTTTTGGCCAGGTGCAGTGGCTCATGCCTATAATCCCAGCACTTTGGGAAGCCAAGGCGGACAGATCAGTAGTTCGAGACCAGCCTGACCAACATGGTGAAGCCCCATCTCTTCTAAAAATACAAAAAATCAGCCAGGCATGGTGGCAGATGCCAGTAATCCCAGCTACTAGGGAGGCTGATGCAGGAGAATCACTTGAACCCGGGAGGTGGAAGTTGCAGTGAGCCGAGATTGTGCCACTGCCTTCCAGCCTGGGTGACAGAGGAAGACTCTGTCTCAAAAAATATATACATGCAAAAATTAGCTGGGTGTGGTGGCACATGCCCATAGTCTCAGCTACTTGGGAGGCAGAGGCAAGAGAATCGCTTGAACCCAGAGGGTGGAGATTGCAGTGAGCTGAGACTGTGCCATTGCACTCCAGCCTGGGTGACAGAGCGAGACTCCATCTCTAAAAAAAAAAGAATGAGAGAAGGGGAAAAAAGAAAAAAACCTTGGTCTTTTAACTTATGGAAAGAGGAGGCTGGAAATAATTTGGTCTATTTACTACTGTTTCATGGTAAGAATTGTCAAGTCCAAAAAGATGTTCAGTGTTCCTTAGCTTAAATTTGTATTGGTAAGTTCTTGAGTAAGTTGTAATTGTTAAAACACTCACAATGAATGAAGAGACCCCCCCACAAACAGGCTTTGTGTGAGCAACATGGCTGTTTATTCACCTGGGTGTGGTCGGGCTGAGTCCAAAAAGAGAGTCAGCAGAGGGCAGTGGGATAGGAGTTGTTTTATAGATTTGGGGTAGGCAGTGGAAAGTTACAGAAGTTACAATTTAGGGTGGTTTTTGCAAGATGGGAGGGTATTGTCGGGTTGACCAAGGTCAGTTACAAAGTCCAGTTGCCTTATCAGTTAAGGCAGGAATAAGGAACAATAGAAGAATGTCTCAAAGTTAATTAGGTGCTGCTGGGGTTGATCATTCTTCCCCGATTCATGGTCTTCCAGTTACTTCAGATTTTCTAATTCTGGGAGGCCATCCAGAGGTATCTGTGCAGGTCACAGGAGTTGCCATGGCTTGAATTAGGGTATGGCCTACGGTGCAGCCAGTTCAACGAACCTTGCAGTAATATCATAAATATTTCAGAAATTGCTTTATGTGAGATTTGTCAGTGCTTTCGTTGCCTGTGTATCAGTCTTGATGGTGCTTTCCCTTATTATATTAGACAACTAGAATACGTATTATCAGTCATTTTTTTTTTTTTTGAGACAAGGTTAAGCTCTGTAGACGGGGCTGGAGTGCAGTAGTGCAATCTCAGGTCACCATAACCTTTGCCTCCCAGGCTCAAGTGATCCTCCCACTTCAGCTTCCTGAGTAGCTTGGACTACAGGCATGTGCTACCAGGCACAGCTAATTATTTTTACTTTTTTTGTTGAGATGAGATCTCAGGCCCAGCACAGTGACTCACGCCCATAATCCCAACACTTTTGGGGACCCAGGCGAATGGATTATTTGAGGTCAGGAGTTCGAGACCAGCCTGGCCAACATGATGAGACCCCCATCTCCACTAAAAATGCAAACATTAGCCGGGCATGATGGTGTGGTGCACGGGTAATCCCAGCTACTCGGGAGGCTAGGGCATGAGAATCACTTGAACCTGGAGATGGAGGCTGCAGCGAGCTGAGATTGAGCCACTGCTCTTCAGCCTGGGTGACAGAGGGAGACTCCATCTAAAAAAGAAAGAAAAGAAAGCCACTGCTACATAATGTACAAAGCTTCCATCACTGTAAGGTGATATGTGATTACACTCATGGTTGTCACTCAAACAACAGGACATATTTGTGTATGTAAAAGGAAGGATGATGACAGATGTGATAAAAATAACTGTGAGTAATGGTAGAACCAAAAGATAATGTACCAAAAGTACTACGATTTCTCATTTCCCCCTTTCTCTCTTAGTGGTTGATTTAAAAATTATAATCTCAACTGGGCTCAGTGG